CTCTTGCAGAACACTGTGTGCATTGGGGTTTTTTACATACACTGTTTGCAGGATGCTTAGCTGCCTGCTTTGATGCCTTCCCTTCCTAGAGGTACATCGGCAAGTACCAGTTACCATGTCCTTGTTAGCCAGAAGATGTCAAATAATAAGTAGCTTTCACCTACTGAGCACAGTGCTTCCCAAACACTGGTAATTAGAAATAACTTGGCTTTTCCTTGCTTCATCTGCAAGGAAACACTCCTGGTTAGCCTGTGATTTTAAGCTCGGTGCACAGCCCGGCTTTACCGATGGTATCGCTCCCGTCAGGTTGTAACAGAGTTATGGCATCTCCTTCCCTTGCGTGGAGTGCCCGTGTCTGTGCGCCGCAGGCTCGTTAAAGCTGATGCCCAGCAGGAGCAGTTTATGTTTCTGTAATGGCTTTTATGTTGTTGTCTCATGGAGTTAGGTCTGTCTGAAGACAGCCAGAGTTTAGAGCAGTTAAAGCTTCTGATGGAGATTACCATAATTACAAGTGATCAACATTCAGTGCTTTCCCCCCTCCACCCTCCCTCCCAGCACAGCTTGTCTCGGGTCAGGCTGCAGAGAGGCCACTTGGAGAAAGTGCCTTTATGGTGACATCCGTGATCTGACACCTTGCCCAAAGGGTGACATCACTGCCTACCTGCAAGACCATCAGGTTTCAGTTATTGCTGTATTTCCACCAAAGGCAACTGAATCAGCATTGTGCTTGTCTGTGCCGTTACTGATACTCCTTACCTTCACCTGTTCATTTACATTTTAATCATGACCTTACAGTTTACGTAATTGTGATTCTTGTTTTGTTTAAGTGATATTCCCCACAGGATTGCTTAAGAATGCACCGACAGAAATCCTACTTAGCAATTTTCCCTCGATCACATCCCTTCCAGCACTTGCTAATATATTTGAGGTAATAGCCAAAAGTCATGATAGTGAAAAAGGGGTTAAAAGCAAGAAATACAAGTACATCCTGGATAGATGAATCCATTTTTCCACTAATTAATAGCATGCTTCTAACAATGGAAAGCTATTAAAACATGAAGGTATGTTTTGTGAATCACATTTATCAACCACTATACATGCTGAAATTCCATTATTTATTCTGTATTTTTAACATAGCATATGGATTTTTTCATTCAAATGTGGAAAGTAGCAACAAAAACCTTTTTTTTGCCTCCATTTAAGTATATATTCATGCAAAAATGAAAATGTAATAAGAACTGTACGTTCTTATGTCAACAGTAACCTTTAAATGGTGTTCTTTAGATAAAACTGTGAATATTGGAAAAGAAAAAAGAAAGATAAGTGGTTCCCGTATTCATCTTAGTCCAAAATCTATTCTACCCACTGCTGGTTGCTGGCGTTGTTTGATGATATGACAGAGTAACAGAGAATCAGATTATCAGAAAAGGAGATTCCCAATTTAATAGTTACTTGCAGAAATCAAAGTAGTTTTTCCTTTATCTTAACATCTCAAAAATAAGTAGCTGCTAAATTTCAAATCGTGTAGCCTTCCTGATTTATCATCATATCGTGGATGCACTTGGCTGTCTAACATCAGGGAATCCAATAACTCCCGTCACATACGAAGAAAAGAAAAAATCCTATTGGATAATGGTTTGCATTCTCCCCTACAGTGATTTATTTCTGTCACAAGACTTAATTTTATCACGAGGCAGATGCTTCATCTATATCAATGCAGTACATTCCTGCATTCATTTGTTTCACACCAAAATTGTACCTGATCTATTTTCCAATGCATTTTGGCTTATTTAGTACACGGAGTGATTAGATGGTGTTTAATCACATGTGTAATTTCCAGTCTTCATAATTCTCAAGCATAATAAAGCGAGGCCCATGTAAAGAAGCATAATATTAAATTAAATTGCAGAGAGTAGCAGTTAGAGATGCAGCTGGTGTTAACATTTCGATCTCTAGCGTGTCACGGCAGAGCATGTCAAGTGGAATAAGCAGAGCTTACCCAGGTTGATCAGGTGATCAGCCCAAAGAGAGTATGCCAAACTTTGCCCTGCATTAATTTCTCTCAGGCTATAATGAAAAAAATAGTAATCGCACCTTCTCCTTTGAAATCTGCAGCTCCCCCAAGTGCAGAAAGCCTATCCCGTGTGTTTTAATGAGAAATGCGTGTCCTATCAACACTTTCCCCCACCCCTCCGTCTGCCACTTAATACAGATTATACTCTCTCAAATAATCATCTTTATTTGGTGGGGCAGCTGAGGTCCACAGGTTGGGATCCTCTGCCAAGTGTCATTACACCGTGGGAGTGGGCTGTGGCTGCTTAGCTGGCCTTATCCGCAGCACTGCCAGCCTGGAGAGCTGAGCTGCCTCCCTGGGACAAGAAGTGGTCCCAGGGAAGGGCTGTCAGACTGCTGAACTTCTCAATCAGCAGAGGATATATGTGATTCCTGTTCTGACATTCTGCCTGGAGGACCATCTATTGTCAGCTGCCATTGACAAGTGACAGCAGAGCTGTGACTTCCAGGAAGTTTATCATCTTCTTCTCCCTCCTTTCTTTGCTTCCCTTCTCTTTTTATAAAAAACCCTTGACCGGCTGCCCTTTCCTTTGGTATGGAGCATGGGCGAGTAAAGGTAAGAGCAATGGAAAGTTTCCCAGTTTTACAATTTAGTGGTAGCACTGTGAGGGAGTGAATATATGGGGAAAGAGACTGAGGTAATGACAATTCTCAAAACAGCTGTTGTACGATTCAGCTTCACTACTTCAGTTAATTAATCAGCACCTTGCTGGCAACTCTAGGGGAGATACTCGTTAGATACTGGTAGCAAACAGACAATGCTTTCATATCAAGTATGTTCAACAACATCTAATACAGAGATAACTTCCACAAAAGAGGTCAGGGAATACAGAGGCTCATAAAAGCGCTCACGAAACAGCATTTAATATCCTGGTATATATGAATGTGCTACATATGCTGCCTACTTTGTTACAGCTCTCTGGCTTAAAACACTGTGGACTAACAACAGCAAACTTTCATGTGTTCAGTAGAGGTATTTATCTGAGATAATATTCTTATAGATATGTTTATATAAGTGCTGTGTACGAGTGCCCACTATTCGTTGCTGCATTCATGTAGGATTTCAGAGACCTTACATTCTAAATGATTCTATTCTCTTTTTTGCTGCAGGATGAAAAAAATGGGAAAACTTAAATCCTTCATGCAAAGCTATTTTGTAGAAAGTCAAAATGTGATTAAGATAAAAAAACTCAGTTGGGAGAATGCTGAGTCTACATGTTGTCTCTGAGATTTCCCTCTTTCCTCTTTGACTTAAAGGAGATACTTTGCATCCTACCTACTAAGTTGATAAGAGCATTCATATTTTATGAGGAATAATGCACAGAAAGCTTAAACCAATGAAATTACATATCTACATTTGTAGTATATTTTATATTTTAGTACAGTCCTAAAATTGCCGTTAATGAATATTAGCTTGAAGTTCAAGACAAAACTGGCTTAAAAAAAATGTAACAGCCCTGTTAGGACAAACATTTTCTTCTGCCATGCTGATTTACTGGTAAATTGCAATTCGATGCATTGTACTTCCTTTTCTGAGACCTCTTCTCTTGCTCTGTTCACTTTTCTGATTTAACCCTCTTGTAGGTTAGGCAGTAAATTGCAATGACAGTGACACACTTAAGAGACTGAAATTTATTTGCTGTCACATGTTCCAAACATGCTCAGTTTAATTTTTCAGTTGACTTTATTGATTTATTAAGAATGATAATAGCCTGCATATCACTTCATATGCATAACTTTCAGATAAATCTTCAATACTACTGGCGCATAGTCGTGTGTCCATTGTGGAAGGGAGTGAATGCGTTTAAATATTTAATGTGGTGTTTGTGGAGTTCAGCACCAGGTGGTTTTATGGGTTTTGGGGTCGTTCTGGGTCTGCCTGATGCTCTGTGGAGCTGCAGGTAGTGGCATAACCTCAGGTAGGACTCTCTGATGCAGTTGTAGGAGTCATCAGCTCTCTGGAACGGGGCTCAGAGTTGTATTAAGCAATTTATGTGGACAATTTATCCAGTCTGCTGCCATGTACTGATGTAGACAATTATAGCTCCAGCTCTTTAATGAAACGTACATTATGGTAGAAAGAATATCATAGTTTCTATTATACTCAGGGGAACTATAAAGAGAAATGTCCTTTTTTAAATTAGCTTTACGGCACTGAAGCTTTTATGTATTTACATGCAAGTACACTATTAACCCAAACTACTTGTTTTGAACTCTCTCTGTTGTCAGCTCTTGGGAAGTGTCACGGGCTGGTAGAAAAACTTCTTTTGTGCCTACCTTTAAGCACTGCTGGCCTTTCATGTTAATGGGAGTCTGTTAAAACTTCCACTTTGCTGCAGTCATTCAGACGACAGTGAGAACAGGATGCTGTCTTAATCTTCCCTAATCTGTAGCAAAAACCTGAGATAAAAAAGGACTTTTGTCTAATCCGGCCTCTCAGGTATGGTTTACTTTAGATTTGAGCTATAAATATCTTTCTTTACTTTGTTCTTCTGAGAAGCAAACTGTTGAAAATGGAGCACGGATTCATTCTTCAGCTGCCCGTTTGAGAAAGAGAGAAAGAGCCTTTATAATTTGGAAAAGAGAAAAATAAAGACAAGGCTTTTGGTGTGTGTCCTCCATTTGGTGAATGCACCCTGTTGTAGAGCTACCTGTTGCCGGGACAGCCGTGGACATGAGTCACCCAGTGCTGACTGCTGTCGAGCATCAGGAAGGTTCAACCTCTGGTTTCAAGTGTTGAAGACAGGTCCATCTATACCTGAAGGAATTGTCTCCATAAACCTTGGTTTCAACATTTTAGAAATATATTTGTGCGTTTGCGCTTAATCATTCTTATCTAGTAAAAATAAAAATCGCACTATGAAATGAAGAAATGGGGTGGGAGAGAGACTATGCTTGGAATGAAATAAAATTAACAGCTTTGCCTGTGACTTCTGTCAACTCAATATTTCATCTGCATTTTCTCTGTTTATATACTCCACGTCTCAGATATTCCTAAATTGCAGTAGTTCTTCAGCAGCAGGCCAATCCAAAAAGAAGTGAACTCAACAGATTGTTTTCCTTTGTTGCCTGTAATGATGCCGGATGAAATACCTGCTCTACTACAGTCCAGTTTCTTAAGTACTGTTTCTTGTCTGAGGGCAGAATTTGGAAAGGAGAAGTAGTTAAAAAGCGAATGCCACAGATATTAATTGGAATTACTTGATACAAGTGGCTATAAAATTATTGGAATGTCTGAAGACTTCCAGTTATTCCTGGTTTCTTTTGCAAACTTGGGGGGGGGGGTTAGAAATGGATGTAAGAAAATTGCTGCTCAGAATTTACATGATATCCCAAACCAGGCTTCAATAAGACTTTTCATAAATCATTATTCCCTCATAGCACTGTTATCATCATCTCCATATCCAGATGAGGGGTCTGTTTAAGGTTGTCACTGGGCTAAGAAAAAGTAAACTTATGTTGTCTACCTGGGCATGGCTTTTGCACATCATTTACCAACCCCCCCCCCCAAATCATAGCAATCCTTGGATGTCCTTGTTCAGTCTGATTCAGTGTTCCTTTCATTTGTGTTGAAAACCTACTGAAAAAAACCTCCTTTGAGGAAAAAAAAGTGTCAGAGCCCTGAAAATAGGTTAATTCTGAAATCTGTAATGTTTTCCATGTACTTATGTAGGGAAAAGGTAAAGGGTGGATTTTATAATCCCTTGAAACCATGTGTGTATATCATAGATATAAAATGGGAGAGAAAAGGTTGAATTTGGATCTATAGTCATTCGGAGTCAGAGAGTAATGATGACAATGTCATCTGGTAATGAGGGGCTAATGGGGCTAAACTTCATCAATTAAATCCTTTCTCTTTTATAGATTCATAGATTATAATGCCAGTAAGGAATACTGTGATAATCTAGTCTGACCTCGTCTTACAACATATACTATGAAACTTCCCTGAAATAATTCTTGTTTGAACAAGAGCATTTATTTCAGAAATAAAGCATCCAACCTTGATTTAAAATTGCCATGGTTGGAAATGCCTGAGAAACCTTGATAAATTGTTGGAATGGTTAATTATGTCTCTCTGTTAAAGGGGCCTACCTTCTCTCTCCTCTGAATTTTTCTCTCTTCAGAGGGACCTGGAGAAGTGTGATCTTTGTGTGCTGTGGATGTGATGGGGTGTAGGCCACTTGGGAGTTTCTCATCTTCAAATCTGTCAAATCTGATTTCCTTTTATGACAAGGTAACCCACCTAGCTGATCAAGGGAAGCCAATTGACATAATCTTTCTGGATTTGAGTAAACCTTTCAATGCTGTCTCTCACCATATCCTGTACAAAATGTCCAGCCCACAGCTGGATAAACACATCATGCACTGGGTGAGCAATTGGCTCACAGGTCGAGCACAGAGGGTAATAGTGAATGGGGTAACATCAAACTGGCCACCTGTCACTAGTGGGGTTCCACAGGGCTCCATCTTAGGCCTATGCTCTTCAACATCTTCATAAATGACTAGGACACAGGATTGGAAGGGATACTAAGCAAGTTTGCACATGACACAAAACTGGGAGGAGCTGTTGACTCCCTTGAAGGCAGGGAGGCCCTGCAGAGAGACCTTGACAAATTACAGGACTGGGCAATCACCAACCATTTGAAGTTGAACACAGGAAAGTGCCAGATTCTGCACCTGGGATGGGGCAACCCCAGGTGTTCATACGGACTGGGGAATGAGAGGCTGGAAAGTAGTGCTGTGGAAAGGGACCTGGGGGTCCTGGTTGATAGCAAGTTGAATATGAGTCAGCAGTGCCCTGGCAGCCAGGAGGGCCAACCGTGTCCTGGGGGGCATCAGGCAAAGCATCACCAGCCGGTAAAGGGAGGGGATTGTCCTGCTCTGCTCTGCACTGGTGTGGCCTCACCTTGAATATTGTGTGCAGTTTTGGGCACCACAATATGAGAAAGATATTAAGCTCTTGAAGAGTGTCCAAAGGAGGGCAATGAAGATGGTGAAGGGCCTTGAGGGGAAGCTGTATGAGGAGGGGCTGAGGTCACTTGGTCTGTTCAGCCTGGAGGAGACTGAGGGTCATTGCAGTTACAACCTCTTCATGAGGGGAAGAGGAGGGGCAGACACTGATCTCTTTTCTATGGTGACCAGTGACAGGACCTGAAGGCAATGGCCTAAAGTTGTGTCAGGGGAGGTTTAGGTTGGATATTAGAGAAAGGTTCTTTACTCAGAGGGTGGTTGGGCACTGGAACAGGCTCCCCAGGGAAGTGGTCACAGCACCAAGCCTGATAGAGTTCAAGAAGCATTTGGACAATACTCTCAGGCACATGGTGTGATTCCTGGGCCTGTAGTGTGCAAGGCCAGGAATTTGACTTTGATGGTCCTTGTGGGTCCCTTTCAACTTAAAATATTTTGTGATTCCATTATTCAAATAAGCACTTCAAAGCAGTGGGGACATCAACTGTCCCTGCATATCAGGATGTGTTCCTATCAACTAAGTAACAGCCAGTGAGTTGTTCCTTGGTGTGAAGGACACAATTTGCATCCTGGGATTTACCTGTGCTTTACAGGTTTGCCAGTGATAGTAACGGGCAAAATTCTCTTGGAACAGATATTGTTTGGAGTTGCATTGCTTGACTGTATTTCTCCTGCCATACTGTCTGTCTCTGCTCTTTCCTTTGAGAACCAGTGTGTCTGCTTTGAGAATCAGTTGTACACTGGGATATAGAGCAGGAATGGAGCAGAGTTCAGAGGGATTTACTAACCTTTGCAACTGTGTTTCTTACCTAGGCACTTCTTCATATTCATCTCCTTGCACTTTCTCCCAGTAGTTTCCCTGCCAAGTGGCATCCTTTTGATGTGACTGGGATACAGTAAGCATTCCATAGTAGTTAGGAGGGAACACTGACAAGAGAAGGAATGAGCAAACTAGCTCTATGACATGTGCATCTCTGTCCTCAACCCAGCTTTTGCCAGCCGCCTCTTCAGGAGGAAGGAATGAGATGGGTTTCAGAGTCCTGTTGGAAGTGGAGAAAAGCATGTCAGCGTGAGGGGTAAATCATGGGTGTAGCAAAGTTCTCCATCGTAAGCCTTTCTGCCCAGCCCATGCTTGAGCTGGCCCCAACCCCAGCATGTTCCTGTTGTGGGTATGCAGTGCCCATTTAAGAAGTGCTCATCTAGAAAATGGAATTAGAAAGGTTTTCTGAGAGCCCAGAAGAAAAATTACTTCAGTTAGTAATTAATGGTATTTGCACACGGTTAGCATTTTAATATCATGCAAGATTTTGCAGGCACTAGAAAGTCCTGTGCTACTGATTTGGATGTCTTGCAAATGAGGGACATAAAAATAAGAGGAATCACATGTGGGAATGTGAGATCCTGGAATGGAAAGCCATTCCATTATGACATTTCTTACCAGTATTACCTTCCTAGATTTTCGTGTGGCTCATTCCAGTGTCTCACCATGTTCTGCCCATTTTCTGCAAGGAGAAAATCTTTTGTATTGAACAGAGTATTTTTCCTGTAGTTTTGTGAAAAATACTTGTTACTTTTCCAATTGGGATAACTTGTGAAATCCATTTAATTAGCAGGCCGATAGCATTGTGACTGTACACTCTGTGGGATTCAGTGTCTCCATTTCATGCAATGAGAAACAAAGACCCTCCATTTGATGGCTGGAGATGCTCAGTTCAGTCCCACAAGGGCTGACCCATCTGACAACAGTCTGTCATTTCATTTTTCCTGAGAACAGGAATTCTGAGAGAATAAGGATTGCTTCTGGCCAGGAGTGAGTTAAGGCAGCCCTTAAAACTAGTCAAACGAGGATATTCAGCTTACATTATAAGTGAAATGTGTATTTATGCCTTTTCTGTAAGCTGAAAAGCCCCGAGTATCTCAGGAGGAGTTTATGGCCTTTCATCATTTTCATTGATCAGGATCAACATTAATCTGGTAAATTAATCTGAGAACTCCTCTACCTCTCACCTTCACAAAACAAAACTCCTCCAGTCCTGTCCTCCAGCATTTTCATCAGATTTTTTTGGCTGAGAACAGAAGGTAGAGAACACAGAAGTGCCAGGCATCCCCAGCTCTGAGGTGAGGGTGCTTCTGCAGCAAACATTTCCCAAGGAGCTTCCCATGTCAGTGGTACCTACACAGCTCCAAGGAGTTGGTATCACCAAAACTGGCCTGTGAACCTCTGCTGTTCTTGAAGTATCTGTTACTGCTCCTCAGCTGGAGCTCTGTCTCCAGAGAGGCCATCTGGGCTCCTGCTGCTCTGAAAGGGCAGATAAATTGGGTTCTTGAAGGCAGATGGCAGTTTCTTATGGATAATGTAGTATTCCAGTAATTACTGTAGGAAAATGATGTAAGCTAATGTGTATTAGTTCTGCTACTATAATCTAAAATGTATTAATATTGTGGCAGTACTATTCCATTTAATGGTTGCATTAATACATATGCTGTGGATATGATGGTACACTTGCATTTATATTGCGTATTTTACCACAATATTTACAATAGTATTACTTACAAAATTATGGACAAAGTTGCCTGATTTCATGGGTGGGTCCTACCACAAATAGTATATGTCATGGCTTGTTATAGATTATTAGGAAAGTCATATGTGGGAATCATTAATATAGGTTAAGTAGTTATCAATACAAATTTTATGAACAATAAAACCAAACACCAGTCTCTCAGCAGTAAAGCTATTAGGATACATATTATAGCATTTGTATTGAAGTTTCTGACCACTCTTTTTTTCCTAGGTATCAAGTTCAGTCAGTTGTGAGAGCACTCAAATGGTGAAAACTACAGGGGGTAGCATACCTTTCATGAGGACCTAGGCATGATTACACAAGTACTTCTTGCCAACAAAAGTAGACCAAAACATGAAACAAAATACTCATTTTAAGTTATGTCCAAAAATACCGTTATAAATGCAACCCATGGTTAGTGTGTTGTACTTCCATATGCTGTAAGTATAGTGTGTTGTTACAGCTCTTCCCAGCTCTCAGGGAAATAAAGCAGCCCTAGTCTTCTTAAATATTAGGATCCTTGGCTTGATTTGTCACATGCCTGTAAGTCTCTGATTTGAGTTCTTCAGCCGTGAGGGTACCCATTATGTGCCTCCTGTGTGTCCTTCCCTGCCGGCACCCACTCCACACAGCAGCTGAAGTACTGGTCCAGTCAGCAGTACTTGGAGGCTCCACTTTGCTCACTCTATTTCAGAGGCATAAAATGCACTGCACTGGGAGGAAACAAATCCAATCATAATTCTTGCTGCTATTTTCTGATCTCTCAGTTTGTTTCTGTTATCTAGAGCTATATTACATATTTTAGGCTATAACACTGGCAAGATCTGTTTAAAGACAATTAAAATGCAAAATTTAAAGTTGCATGGGAGTATAATTTCATATGATTTACTGTCCGGTTTTTGCCAAGCACTCCACTGTCACCAGCATAACATTTGGTAAATAACTGAATTTAAGGAGTATGCTAGCCACAAGGTGTTATCAACACTAGGTTTTTTTCTTTATCTGCTTTGAACAAGCTGTTTCATGTATTGGAAATTTGTTAAAGAACAGAATAGAGCTTACACAAAAGGACTTAGCATTTAACATTTTCACACACTATTGAATTGTTAAACTTCAAAGATTTTTTCTTCTGATTGCTAAGCCTTAATTAAAGCAGATTGCAAAATACTAAGTGTACAGTGAGAGATTTGCAGGAGATATTTGGAATCAGAAAATCTCAGCGATGGTTTAGTTACATTTTCTTCTGACCTCTGAGCACAGAAGTTACATCAGCTGAGGCTCTGAGAGTAAATCCTGACAGCATTAAAGTCAGTAGCAAATTCACTCAATCTCTGGAAAATGGGCCCTACAATTACTGACTTAAGAAGCTCAATCTACTTACTTTGTCCAAGAGGAGGATGTGAGGTGATGGGATGATGGTCTACAAGGTATTACCTGAAGACGATACCTTTGATAGCAGATAGCTCCTTAATCGAGGAGAAAAAGGCAAGATGAGATGCCAGGGTTAAAAGATGATCCCAACAAATTCAGAGGAGAAATTTGCCACACTTCCTCAGGAGTCAGATCCCAAGCTTCTTGAACAATGTTTCTTGGGAGGGGAATTAATTCCCTGCTGGGAGCTTTTAAGTCAGATTACAACTTCAGAGCCTTGTTTTCCCCAGGGGGTGGGGGACCCTGCTGGGATCCTGGTGCCAGGACCTGTGGAAAGTCTAAGAGTAATCAGAAGTTTGCTCCCAAAGAGTTTTATCAGTTTTGGCCCTGCAACTTCCAGCCCCATCAAGCCTCACCCAGGCAATGCCATTCCCATCAGCTGTGCCATGGACATGTGGGTACATGTCCCACATGCTAGTCACGAGAGAAGTGACAGGGAGTAGCTGGAAAAGCAAACTTTAAAAGCAGGTGGGTGAGACCAACCTAGGTTTGGGCTAAGCTGCCCAAAGCTTGATGGTCCCAAAACCTGCCTATTATCAGGGGCCAGCAGACAGCAGTTACTGCACTTCAGTGAGTGACATCACTTCTGAAAGAAAAAAATTAGAATTCCTCCAGAATTAGAATTTCCTCCCCAAAGACTGGTTGGATAGGTGTGGGGGTTAATGCTTTCCACCCAGTCCCTCACCACCCTTCCCTCCTGAGAAGCATGCCCTCTGCCCCGTGCCCCATGGGGACATGAGCCCCAGGCTCCCCACACTGTGTCTCCCACGTTACCTGGGACTTGATGTGGCTCACCAGGACTGCTGCGGGAATGGGATGAGGGGAAGTTGTCCTGGCATACAACCTCATTTGTAATAAAAAACGGTTTTCTGTAATGACACAGGTTATTATTCAGAAGATAGAGTGAAAGGAGGATTAGGACTCACTCATAATTGTGTGTTTGGTGTTGTGTGTACTGTACACAGAGGATGATGTACCTAAATTACGTATCCCCAAAGGCTCCCTGACAAATACTCTGTGAGAGCTCTCAGTAGAAAAAAAACTAACCCAAACCCACACTCTACTAAACCTGCCATTAAAAGACCAATTCTCTTTTTTTCTTTAAATAGTTCTGGGGTATTTTATCCAGCCATATTTTCTCAGACTTTGGGGTTCTTTACAACAGGCTTTAGATCTGAGAATTTAAGTCAAAAAGTCATTGTATTTAAAGACTGATGGGCATAGCTTTAAGGAAAACTATTGCGAATACTCTTTTTTTTTTTTTCTCCTTATCCAAGCTCTATTCATCTCATGTAAATGTTTCAGAAGCAGTTTTACTCTGCCTTAAGGCATTTCAATTAATGCTCAGATACATGCTGGTAAAAGCTTTACCTTATGGTTTTTTACTCTGAATTCCCTAGTATTCAGCAGCAGGTTTAGGACATCAATAGGTAGCAACGACTAACATGAAAAAGTGAATTAAATCTTTTTCTCCTGAGAGACTTCACATTTTCCACATTGTTTTAAGAATGCTGTGCTCCCTCCTTACTGTCAGAGATAGGTCTTTCTTACAGGGGCTCAACAGGGTTTCCCACAGGCATATTACTGTGCTTATAGCTTGACAGCTATCATGGCAAAAATAAAATCTACATTTTAATGACATTGTGATTATCATTAAAATTGGGGACAAGTCCATTCTAAACTTACTGTGATGCACCGAAGTGTTGTGATAGTATTTGTGATATGCAGTGGTATTTAGAAAGCAGTTGTGATACGCTGTGAGTGGAGTTTGCAGCTGACAGCAATGACCTGACAGATGTAAGATAGTTTAAATAGACTTTTACTTATTGCAATTATTCAGTGATGAAATTGTACAATTAGTTGTAAATCCCTGGGATTACTCCCTTCTTTCTCTAAAAGGGAAC